AGCACCCTAGACAATTCAGTAATGGCATACTTTTTAGGGATTTCTGTTTTTCTGATAAATGAGAGAAAAGTGATTGAGTCCTATGTTCCTATCACCAAAAAGTACAATTTCCGCCTAAACTAAAGCTAAGTTTACAGGACTATAATTCAGTATTTTTTTAGGTAATTAATTGTCTGACTATTTGGTGATGTAGGACAGCCCCCTGGTTCATACCTCAGCAAATCTGAAGAGGAAAAGAGTGATCATTCTTATGGGCTTTTTTGTCACCATTCCCCTATTCGGCCTGGTCTAATTTGGCTCTGTTTCAGGGATTGGGGTCAAAAAAAAAAAAACATTTCTTCCCCCAAAATAAAATTTGACAACAATCAATTTCATTAATGGGAGACCTTTTGTTCTACCTCGGGTAGGGGTATCTAAAAATCTAAAGCCTTTTTTGAGGACTTGCTGCTAGACTATTAATGCAAGTAATACAACTGCAATCACAGTAAGTAATTTTTTTGTTCAGGTCTTTATTTAAAATATATTTACGGCTGTTTATAGCAATCAAAGTCTATTGCAAATCAATAACTGGTGGTCAGGCTGAGAGACACACAGTACATACACACGCTCACAGCCTAGGGTTATTTTCACTAATTCAGATTCAGATACTCATCTCTGTTACATAGTACATATTCATAGTGGCAGTGGCGATGTCCACATTGTCCCCATGCTGTGAGCCAGGGCAGTGGGGCAACACACACTCACACATGTGCCCTAAGGCAGAAGAGAATACACACACACCACACAAACACACACACACACGCTGTGAACTTCAGATCACACACCTAACAGCATGTCAGAAGAGCTGTTTGATACTCGGCTGAGGTTTGAGAAGCAACGAGCCGATATCATTTATTTTCCCTCTGCCTCTTACAGTCTCCTCACTGTTTGCTCTTCACCTGCTTGCCATTGAGTCGACTAGATCACCAATATTGTGACTTTCTTTAAAAAGTGATTATCGTTATTTGATGTATTCCACTTTCATCTGAAGTTAGTGTGTGCGTTTTGTAAGTACATCTGGATGTGCACTTCGGAGCTACGATCCCACACATGCATGCCTGCTGGGTTTGCCACTCAACACATGCACTGAATGTGTGAAGGGATGCGGATTGCCATCAGTAGCGTGGTATCAGTCCATAAGACATAAATGAACAACATGCATACCTTGAGGCTTGACTTGTCCTTTACGTGTGATAGCCACTGTACGTTAAAGTGGCATGAAGAGGAGTTTTCTTGTCACGCAGAGTGCTGCACATCCTGAGAAAACTGTTGTGTAATATCATCACTGACGCTTTCTGCGTGGTAAGAAATGAACAATGCTAATGTCACAAGGGTTATTCCGATTGGGCCTGTAACTTTAATAATTCACAGAAAAAGCTAAGGCCCCATTTAAACGGGAACGCAATCGCAAACAAAACGCAAACGAACCGAATTCGATATCAAATAAATGTGTCCCTTCACACGAGACCGCTGGAGACGCTGTAGTACATATGCCGGGCCTGTAAGTGGCGCTGTACTTCCGCCACAAAATACACCAAAAGCAGAGAAGAAGACCCCGGAGCATGGTTGCCATGGTTGCCTGGTTGCCCTTCTGTTTATTCTCCGCGGTGGATTTAGCAACATGTCGTTCATGTAGTTCTCCATGTCCACTTGTTGCTGATGGTTGTGGTAGAGGAGCTGTAGATTTTGCACTAACATCTGTAGCATGGTCAGTAGCTACTGACAGTAGCTACTGACCATGCTACAGCAGTGAGCAGCAGAGGTGGGGAGAGGCGGGGCTATGGCTTCATCGTTATCAGGAAAATGATCGTATAGGACGTACACACTAAGCCGTTTGGCCCCCCAGAGCGTTCCGTCCGCAGATCTACCCACCTTGGGACCTGTTATCGTTTTAGGGGTCCGTTTCCGCGGTCCCGTTACGGCCTCGTGTGAACAAACGGGCTATACGAAAGAGAAAAGTAGCGGATACAACCCGTTTCGTTCCCGTGTAAACAGCACCTAAAGCTGCTCTGATTTGTTATCTAATTGATTGGTTTATTAACTATTTTGTTAATAAAATAATAGTTAAAATACCTGCAAAATTTCCAAAATCAGTTTGTAGCCTCTTTAAATAATGAAGATTTTAAGGTTTTTATCATAATAAAGTGAATATATTTTGGTTAGAGACTGGCAAAACAAGACATTGGAAACATTTCAAAGACCGAACGATATATCTATTTATCTCGGCCAATAATCAGTTATTTCCCCTTTTTCAATGAAGCGAAATGCCTTGAAGGTCCCAGGGTTTAAATATAATAGACAGTTAAGCACTCCCAAATAATAACTCTGATATTATCAAGAAACAATACAACAATTAGACTCTTCAAACCTTATTGTTTTCAAGGGGTTTAGTTATGAGTCTTATAGAAATACCCATGATTGCTGCAACACAAGCAGAAAATGTATTATAATTCTTTTTAAATGACTCCCTTTATCTTTCCCAAGTGGTCGTAATCTAATGATGAAAATACAAGGATGTGTCCTGCTATAGAAAACAATGACTGCCATTCTTTGCATGCACACTATGCATTATTTAAATCTATTCTTTAGAACACCTCATCGTGTATAATTAAATGAGTAATCTGAATCATTGTCTTGTCCTTTTGTTTTGCCTTTGAACAACTGTTTTTTTGCAGTCCCGTTCACATCCCTGCATGATACTCTTAATCAGCATGAGACAGTTCTCTGTGTTGTCCAAACAGCTTGCTCAATTTCTTTGCGTGACGTCGGAGTCTTTATGCCGCTGCCTACCTCTGTGCTTGTTTTGGAGCTCTCATGGTCTTGTGTCATTCTCTGCTGTTTATAAGGAGATGCTAATTTGGATAGCACCAAGAGGACAGTGCTGTGGCCGTCGCACTGATAGCTATCCAAGTCCTTGATCTCCTCTCCCTATAAACATCATTACCACACACTGAAAACATACACATTCACAACACACGCACACGCACACGCACACGCACACGCACACACACACACACACACACACACAAGCTGCTCATCCAAATCGGCGCTGACAGATTAGCAGTGATTATAAACAAACATGGAGGATTAATCCTGTGTGCTCTCAGTCTACTTTTCCACTGAGCTAGCCAGGGTAATTACCAAGTGCTAGATTGTTAGTGTAATCACACACACACACACACACGCACACACACACACACACACACACACACACACACACACACACACACACACACACACACACACACACTCTTTGCTACTTAGTGATCGCAGTTGAGTAAGAAGGTTGAAGATATCTATTGCAAAGAAACTGCAGCTGAAGTGAATATAGTGCAGACAGTGAGATTGTGAAGCACTTCTTGCTAGCATGTTTGAAACACCAAAAAAAATGACCACTTCATAGTTATTGGATTCAATATTAATCTATATGTTGACTCTTTGATCTGCTGGTCACTGTGTGTGTATTCAACTGTATTCTTTTCAGAGCCAATCAGATTTGTAACCGCAAAATTGGCTTAATATGACACATGGCTCAGGCACATTAGATGTTTTGAAAAACAACCAGATGTGTAGCGTCTCTTTTCTGTCATGTCACCGACTCCCATTGAAATATTGCCTTTTTTATCTGGCCCCAGTGTTGTGAAGCCTCGGGTTGCATAGCTTCAGGTTGCATGACCTAATACTGATTCTGGTCATAAAGCTGCTCTACTAAATGACTTACTTAGTGGTGATCCAGATTCAAAGGTTTCATTGTCATATGCACAAAGCTACAGTATAGAAATGGCAATTCAATTCTTCTGACCTGAGCCTCCAACAATGCAACATAAAACTAAATACAAAATAAAAAGTAGTGCAAAAAGTCTATATACATGTCAATAGAATATGGGATATATACAAGAACAGATTATGAAATTAAATAATGTAAATTAAGACAAAATGAAATTTATTGCGGTAATCATGAAACAACTAGTTTAGCACTGATGTTTGTTTTGTTCCAGTGGACGAGGGACATTGTGAAAACTTTTGGTCAATGGTTGACGGATGTTTGTTTGATTTTGGACACACTTTACATTACATTACATTACATTTAGCTGACGCTTTTATCCAAAGCGACTTACAATAAGTGCATTCGACCAACAAGATACAAACTTGAAGAAAACAGAATCATATAAGTACATCAGGTTTCATAGAGCTAAAACATTTCAGGTGCTACTCAACTAGCTTTAGATAAACCAGTCCTTTATTAGTATATAAGTGCTTTGTTAGCCATTCTTTGTTAGTGCTTCTATCGCTCGAAGTGGAGTCGAAAGAGATGAGTTTTCAGTCTGCGCCGGAAGATGTGTAAGCTTTCTGCTGTCCTGATTTCAATGGGGAGCTCATTCCACCATTTTGGAGCTAGGATAGCAAACCAACGTGTTTTTGCTGATGGGAACTTGGGTCCCCCTCGCAGTGCGGGTGCAGCGAGCCGTTTGGCCGATGCAGAGCGGAGTGCACGTGCTGGGGTGTATGGTTAAACCATGTCCTGGATGTAGGAAGGGCCAGTTCCATTCACAGCATGGTACGCAAGTACCATTGTCTTGAAGTGGATTCTAGCAATAACTGGAAGCCAGTGAAGTGAGCGGAGGAGCGGCGAGGTGTGGGAAAATGTTGGAAGGTTGAAGACCAGGCGAGCCGCTGCATTCTGGATGAGCTGCAGAAGTCGGATGGCACATGCAGGTAGACCAGCCAGGAGGGAGTTGCAGTAGTCTAGGCGTGAGATGACGAGAGCCTGGGCCAGAATCTGCGTCGCTTTCTGGGTCAGGAGGCGACGTATCCTCCTGATGTTGTAAAGCGTGTATCTTTACCTATCATATATGTTGGCCGTCTGTTAATGTACAAGTTTTGCTCAATACCACCTTGCTTTGTTCACAGCTTTTCTCCTCCACTGGATTTAATTATTTATTCATTCTCTTATTTTCCAGGTTGAGGCCATCCTGGTCAACATCTTCGGAGGGATTGTCAACTGTGCAATCATCGCCAACGGCATCACCAAAGCCTGTCGAGAGCTGGAGCTCAAGGTGCCGCTGGTGGTCAGGCTGGAAGGTAGGAATGATAAAACACACACAAAGACATGTAGGTTTAGCCTGTCTGACCCTCTTAGTAAGCAAGCCCCCACTGACACTCACACAATACACAATGTGCATCATCCCCTCAGAAACATGGGCCATTGATTTCTATCTTGCCTGGAATGAAAGGGTCTTGACCTTAATGAGGATTTGATGATGCTGGATAATGACACTGGCCTGTGAGGGATAGTGCAGATGTTTTTGAAGTGGGGTTGTGAGAAGTACTTCTCCATAGTCAGTGTATTACCTACTGTAGCAAAAGGTTGACATGACCCCCAATTTTGAAAAATAGACAGAGTAAAAAAAACAGACTACCGGCACGGGAGAGAAGCAATGTGCTGCTGTGGAAAGGGGCTGTCAGCAAAACGTATTTCTGCCATTTTAAAGAAATGCCCACCAAAATAAATCTATATCAGTAATAATGTACGCTATATTAAGAATATTTTCATTGTCTACTTTGCTCTGCGATAGCCCTTTGGGATTTTAGTCTTTGCAGACCATTTACATGCACAACAATCTACATATCACTACAGAAAAGGGAAAACCACTAAAAGCATAATAGGGCCCCTTTAATCGGTTAGTTTGTTTGTGATATGTTGTGACTTTGGGTTGTTCAGATAACCAAAGTCACACAATCACAAAAAACGAACCAATCAGGCAGCAGTAAACCAGAAACACATGCGTTTTGCTTGGTAAAGTTTTGGCTTTGTTCAATGGAGTGTGGTGGCTTGTCAAGAGACAAATAATGTTCATCATCATCATCAGAACACCGTCACCGTAAAGCTAGGTACCTTCGTGACCGCTAGCCCTATAGCCAAATCTTCTATGGAATAAAGCATACAAAAAACTGATAATGAGCCTAGTTACATCGCATTTTAAATGTATTTCCTTTTTCCATTTGAAGTGATAAATGTATATATCATCACCTTATAGTGGAATTTATAAATAACACAAGTGCAGCAGGATTTGAATCACCTCTTCCCCACCTTGTTTGAAACTTTGGAGCATTGTATTGTATGCTGCTGTATTCTCTGGAGCCGATCCATCTTCATTGTGGCCCAGCGTCCTCGTAAGAACAGCAGTGCATTTCTCACACGTGTCACTTTTTGCCGCACCCGTCATTAGCGCCAGCCAGAATAACAATAGAGACGGCACTGATTGGCTCACCTTTCACCTGCGTATGCTAATGAAACCTGTTCAGTCCTCTGTGTGTGTCGGTGTGTGTGTTTTTGTGTGGGATGGCAGCGGTGACTCCTGTAGGCGTGGGGCCAGTTGGTGGTTAGCTTAATTGTCAAGATCCTGCTGAGTGGTGTGTCCAGAGCAGAGAGTAGGGGAGTGTGGGTGTGTGTGTGTGTGTTGGCCCTCCATACTTCATACTGTATGTCCTCACACACTCTGCTAATATGGTTTGTAGGTCAGGGCACGTAAGCTGCTTCTGCAACCCAACTGTGCAGTAAGGCACTACAGTGCAGTACAGTTATGGTTGTTCAGAACAAGAGTGGAAAGTATGGAACGTTTACTCGTCTTAATAACAGCCCAAAGGTTCTGTACTCACTTAAATGAGGCCCGTTTACACTAGTGATCTTCCATATATTTAAAAATATTTGTTATGTTTTTAAATATTTGAAACGGTTTCGATGACTTTACCAGCTGCTCTTTAGACACACACATCGCTGCTATTCTCACATAGACCCGCTTCCTCTAACTCAATCACAGTGCTGGTTATTCGTCACTCGTCTTGATCGCCCGGTATATATATATAATCCTTTTCAGGTTTGTGATAATGTTAGCTCATTAAGAATGGCAAGTGACACACATGGTGTTTGGAAGTACTTTGCATTTAAAGGAAACACAAAGGATACAAGTAATTCATATTCAGCAATGCTATGAAAGATGCTAACACAACACATACAGTATAGCAACCCGACAATAGAAATGGACTATGTGGTCTATAAAATGGTATCGATTATAATAATTTGTTACGGTATTCTATTAAGTTGGAACTTTCACGTGTTATAAAACTAAAACACACCTATGGACGAAACATTTGGCAAAGGATAATGATCAACATAACTTAACAATGTGTGACATTGTTTTGTCTATTTCCCCCTAAACACCACACAAGTATTTTAAAATGAGTGCTTGTTTTGCCCGCCTGAAATATCTTTGCACCCAAGTTATTACAATTTCAAATGTATAGCTTAAACCCAAAACTCAAGAATACCAAAACTGAGAAGAAACATTGGTGCCTGTTCAAATACTCAAGGTATATAAATAAACCTCTCCATTGTGTATTTCGAGTGTCTGCCTCCATGCTTCGTAATGACCATGTGTCTGAAGAGTGAGCACCCAATGTGTCGCCACAGATGCGACTGGGTCTGGTGATCAAAACAAACCCTTAATTAGGCACCACACATTCCTTGTACTAGGCCATGTAATTCAACCTGACTAACAAACAGACTGAGTCCAGAAGGTTAGCGCTGGCGGTCGGTCCAACCACGTTTTCCTGGCCCGGGCATAATCCAAGCTTTAGCTGTGGGTCATTACATCTCGGGCCGCAGTCGTGTGGAGAAGATTGGTTCAGAATCAATCAGCTCAGCTTGCTAGGCTGACCGCGGGGCAGCAGGAGCGGCCCAGCGCTCTTCAACAGGATCAGAATGGATTAACTGGCACACTTTTAATTGGGAAGGCTCTTTTTAAAAGGCCTGGGTTGATTACATTGGTGGAAAGTTATGTATTCCCATATGTGGAGGAGAAGGGCCATGTTGTCAAGATCCTGATGGGGTTGAACTAGTTGATAAGGTGTGAGCTGGTAGAGTTCAAGTCACCCAGTTTGCACGCTACAGTACTAGCTCTAATTTGTCCATTTCAATAGATTCTGCAGATTTAGCACAGAACATATATAGACAAACAAACATTTAAGGTGTTGAACGGAAGAGATTAATGAGGAGGTACTGTACTGCCCCCTCTGGTTACAGTATGAACATGGGCACAGTGCTTTGTGAGGACGCTGTCTGCCACTATGGGAAGAAAATCCCTTTGAATAGCCCTCAGGGTCCAGGAAAAAAAGGTGACTGCATTCACTTAACTCTGTTCCCCGGCCTATTGATCCACCGAGCCCTGCCCCAACTGTCCGTCAAACAGGGCTGGTTGTTTTCTCTTTAAAAGCAGAGCTGCCCATTTGTGTCTCACTTATTTAAAAAAAGTCCAATTGTGATATGCCATTCAGTCCTGACGGTGTTATTACTGCTTAAATAGCTGCTGCGACACACACATACAAAGGAATAGTTGTACATGCACACATATAGGTATACAGAAATATGAACAAACTGGCTCATTGCAACACTTATATCGGACCAGTTGTTTGTTTTTTAGCGTTTAAATGTAAATATTTTGGAAATGTTTGGTTATAATAACAAAAAAATCCTGCTTTTATATATAGGCCTATATATTGTGCATATTATTCTATATATTTGCTTCAAAACAAGGAGTTGAATAAATCATGATATGTCTCCTTTAAAACGAGAGTCTAGACAGCACAAAAAGTTTGCTTAATGACTGGCTCGCACATCAAAGGAAGAGCGTCTGCAGCGTTCAGGAGAGTCTCGCTCTGCGTTCAAATGAGAAGCATTTGATGTTTGACACACAGGAGGAAGAGGGGAGGAGCCGGCTTCATCCATTTTCGGCTGTTAAGGGAAAATATTCTCACTGTTTGTTACTGATCATTATGAGGATTAACTATCAAAGTCAGAACAAGTATTTAGACATTCAGTGATGAGAGACAATGTTTAACACCTGTTATTCAAGGCATTTAGGGCAGCAGGACACCGAGCATCTGGTATATTCTGTCATGCTTGCACACAAATATTCTGTCTGTACTTTGATATTGAGTGATAATATTGTCTGTTTGTTTCCTCTATCTCAATATGTGTATATATAACTACACCTCGGATATCAAACTAGTCTTTTGTCAATCATGGTGTGAAGTTATACGAAAGCCGCTCTTAGTTGTGTTGCCCTGAGAGTCGAAATACCTGCCAAAAAGACTCAGCAAATGTTTAAAGGGGACCTATCATGCAAAATGCACTTTTGTACATCTTTTATACATGAATATGTGTCCCCGGTGTTCCAGGGAACTCACCAAGTGTCAGAAAACACAACCCTCTCTATTTTCCTCCATACCCAAATCTCTAAAAAAGGGGCTGCAACGGATCTGATCAAAACTGATCCAGATTTGAACACTGTCCTGACGTCAGGACGGTGGCGCTACAGCTATTGGGCCAACTCCACCAATCAGGAGGAGACAACCACGGCCATTGCCGTTCGAAAGCGCTGGAGACGCTGTAGTACATATGCCAGGCCAGTAGGTGGTGCTGTTCTCACTGAATCTGCCCTTGCTAAAAACAGGGATAAAAAAGTGCAAATTGAGCAAAATGAGGCATGGCTAAAATGCATGATCTGTTTGGTATTTTTAAGTATAAATATGCCTTATATAGGTATGGTCCTACAATATATTATTCAAATATAGCATGATAGGTCCACTTTAAGATACATGAGGATTATCATTTATCTTTTTCAAACTAGCTTTACTAGCATCTGATAAACTAATTCCAAAATAGCTTTGTTTGCAGTTCGTACGGTCACATGCATATAAACACTGCTCTGTGGCACATGAAGCCAAAATGAACCAACTGCCGAGTGATAAGAAATACCTGACTCATTCACATGTATCGGCCTATAGAGTTAGCACACTAGTGTTTCCTTAGCCACGCCTCCCAGCCGCTCGGTGTTGGTCTCATTCACATGTTTGTAGGAAGGAAAAGACCTCTGGATTTGGCTATGAGAGCATTTTACAAGTGTAAGGATCGATGGTTATACATGATAAAAAAAATTCTTGGGAAGTTGATTTACCGCCAAACAAATTAGAGATGCGCTGATTTAAAGGTCACTTATTCACAATATTTCGATATTAAAAAGTCTATACGAAAAAGTAATTTTGGTTGGACACAATGACATCATGAGACACGGAAGTTGTAATTTCATGGTTTGGCCTCTACGAGAAAAACAAAATCAAAGCCCTCTGTCCCTTGGGGGCTTTGAAAGAGGCCTGTGGTAAATAATACAACATAGCATAAGACTAGCGCAAATAGAAAATGTTGTGGTGGAAACTTCTGAAGCAATTGGAGTCAGGACTCAGAGAGAGAGACACGATGGAGAGCTGGAGCTTTGATGGCAAACGCTGACGGTGCTTTTGGAGCTTCGGCCGGAGAATTCACAAGACATGTCACGAGCCACGAGTTGACCACACGGTTGAGATGCCACAATCAATTCTAAAGAACTCTTCCCCAGACCCGTGTATTAGCTAGTTCAGAGAGAATAATCAACATTGAGCATAACAAGATAGAATCATAACACCTCTATCAGCTGACGCCAACAGGCAGGAGCAGGGAGACAAACCACTGAGAGCACAGCAGCCAAGGTTGCAGGTGCGTGTGCTCAGCCAGGACAGTCTGAACTGATAAACTGGGTCAAAGTTATGGGCCTTGGAAAATATTTCCCCAATAAATGTGATAAATTAAGAAACTGGCTCACTAATGTTGTAATATTGAGCCAAAAGTGTTCAAACACTGGCCACCATGAGTCATACCAGACTAAGTATGGCTGCAGCAATAATAATCTCATTGTGCTCTAATTATTTTCTAAAAAGAAATTGTTGAAACAAAAGTTCAGAGCAAATGAAATGAGTAAATGACCAACTCCAGAACGAGATTAAGAAAAGTTATCAAGCCTCACATAATTTATTTTCTTATCTTTACCTCATGAAAGAACAAACGCTTGTCTTAGTGATATAAAAGGAACCACGAGAAGAAAGCAGTTCCTCTGCAGGTCTGACACTGTGGCAGCTTGTTAGTTTATCAGCTTATTAAGACAGAATGAATCACAAGTTTAAGCATCAGCTCCGCAGCATCAGAACTTCTCTGGAGAAAGAAACAGCCCAAAGACTTATTATCTTGTTGAAATACGGGGGTCTTTTAATTGACTCTTACATTAAAGTGACATTTCCACAATAGTCACAATTAAGCTTGCTCATTAGCGGGGAGACCCGACAGAAAGGGGTTGTGAAGTGGCAATATATCACATGGCAAAATACTGAATGGTGCTTTTTATACTTTTGGGTTAAAGAGTATTTAAATACTTGTTAGAAAGCAACATTGAAAATGGCAAGTTAATTATTTATTTTTTTAAATCCTGATGTCTAGTTATTAACAATCATAGGTAATAATAATGAATAATAACCTGCATAATGATCGTTTTCTGCTATGTGACAATATTCTTTTTTGTTGCTTTCTTTTGAAGAGAATTCTTAAATCTCATGCTTTTTCATTTTTATAATCAAATCCCTTTATGTATGTATCTGGGTCCAAGCTGTGAGTAGATCTCTGGCAGCACCTAGTGGCTGCAGGTGAACACACACATTCATATACTACGCACACGCTACACACACACATTCTCACACACACACACACATTCTCACACTCACACACACATTCTCACACACACACACAGTGGTGCTGTATCCAGCTGGGCTCGGTCCTTGCCTCTGCTGCTGTGAGTCATCAGTGCTCCCTACTGCTCACAGTGGAACTGCAGTCAGCTGCCCCCCCCCCCACACACACACACACACACACACACACACAAACACACACACATATGCAGAGAAAGAGCCACGTAAATGCACGTATTTTCTTTCTCACTCCCGCAGATGTGTGATTCCCCCTCACACGTTGCATGGATAGCACCGGTAGCGCAGATGCAGGTGTCTCAACGCACACTAAGGCTTATCATGAATATGTATGGGCTGAAAAATAGCAGAAATGAACGTGTTGTTGTTTCCTTATTCTTAGCGCCACTGTACACTTTCCACGGGCATATTTGTCTGTTCAAAGTATCTTTTGCATTATGCATTTGCTGCGGGTGCATATGGCAGTTTAATGTCCTGTTTTTTCAACTTTGTTATCCTGCTACTGAGATTGAATCATCTGAGGGATAAAACTGTCATTAATACAAAGTGGATCCGTCAATCACAGGGAGCTTCACAGGTGAGCTTAATGTATGTAAAACACACAGTACGGCCCCTCCTCTCGTCAGAATGAGCGACAGCACAGAGACTGCTCATGTGTTTGTGGACAGGCAGAGTGATACTATGCTGCAGTCTTTGATTTGGACATCCTATCCCCTGTTCATGGTCTCTTCTTGCTCTTGTTCTAATTAATTACACTGAAGAATTGATTGTTTGGAGTGTGAGCTTGCAAAAAAAGAGTGTGTTTGGAATGACTTATTATGAGGCTGGACAAAAGAGATGAAATATTAGGCGTTAAGTGGCAGTGGTAATAGAATTCCTCAGGAAAGGTCTATTGATCAGGGTGGCCGGGGCTCCGGAGAATTCACATATCATGCCTTCTTAATTACACGCCAGCCCGGAGAGCTAAGGTCAACCTGTAAGCATCTGAGTACGCACACACACACACACACACACACACACACACACACACACACACACACACACACACACACACACACACACACACACACACACACACACACACACACACACACACACACACAGTGACCCCAGAGACACACCAATGCACAATTCAAACATTGTTAATTACACAAATCCAGTAATAACTACTCGTGTATGTAAGGCTGCAACCCTTTTCTTTCTCATTATGGATTCATCTACAGATTATTTTCTCCAATATACATTATGGTCAATAAAATACCAAATGTGTTGTCCGAACACTAGTCACAAACCTAAAGAGATTACATTTATTGTCATAGGAGACACGAGTAGATGGAATCATTAATAAGTCACTTTATTATTACTAGACTTAACATTTCTTGTCATATTTTTCAAATACTTTGTTGTCACTGCACATGTAGGACAAGGAGCATTTGAAAATGGTTGTAAATACATAGATTCATTGTTACACCACCGTTAAGAGATAATCATTATTAAGTTCAATATAAACTTTTCTACAATTTATTAAAGCTATTAATGGCTGCTCCCGCAATACGTTTTTTTAAATCCTGATACTTCTTTTTGAACATGAATGTGTACTTTGGGGATTTAATTAACGTGTGCATATTCATTATGTTAGTCTACCAATTGTATTGTGTTGCTCTTTATCTGTACTGTCTCTTTACTGTAATAATGAAAATATCCCTGCTGTGGAACTATGTGTAAATGAGGTCTGATTTCTCATATTTTGGTAGTAAAAAAATATTAAGTAAAGGAGAAAAATAATGCAAGAAAAAACCACAATATGAATAAAAAAAAAAGAAAATAATGGGATGTTTTTAGAAAATAAAAAGTCCCAAGACCAGACAGTACATTATCGTTGATACCACATCAGACAGATTCTGCAAATGGCCTCTTTCTTTGCCATCATGTCTTCATGTGTGAAATCAGTAAGTGCCACATAAGCAGCTGTGTTTTGTTGTTTTAGCAGCATGGGCGATTCGGCTTCATTTGACCTTTTGCTCCATTGCCCTCTCTCTCATTAGCTCCCTCTCTCCCCCGTCGTCCTCTCCCTCTCCATGTCCTTCCGTCCACCACCCCCCCCCCCCCCCCCCCCCCCCCCCCCCCCTGCCCGTGTTGTGACAGTTTGTCAGGCTTGTGTGTGGCGGTGCAGTGTGCAGCGCTGGGGCTGGGAAGGCAGCCAGGTCAGAGTGAGGGTCTTGGGGGGCAGGGCGGGGTGTCTCCAGGTGCTTCTGTCTCTGGTTGGTTGGGGGTCTACCGGGGCATGGACGCCACCCTCACCCAGCACCTGCTCCCCCTGACCTCACTGCAGCCAGGGGAACACACACACACACATACACACACACACACACACACACACACACACACACACACACACACACACACACACACACACACACACACACACACACACACACACACACACACACACACACACACACACACACACACACACACTGACATTGTTCACAGACAAACCACCCATGTCTCCCTCCATCTGTCGTCGTGTGCTTCCATTCCTCCAAAGGTTTTCTTTGCCTTTCACACCGGGTGGTTTTTACATCGTACAGGTGGCACATCAGGTTCAACCTTGTTAAGCCCTTTTTTTTGTCATTTTAACTTGAACAGTGTCATCCTGTGTGTTCCAGGGACCAACGTGGACGAGGCCAAGAGGATCCTCAGAGAGAGCGGCCTGCCCATCACGGCAGCGGAGAACCTGGAAGACGCCGCCAAGAAGGCAGTGGCCGCCATCAGGAAATAGATCCAGTGTAACCTCATCAGCAACATGCAGTCATACAGACTCAGGTCACAGTCAGCTTTTAGTCACACATGCAGGATTTCAAGCCTTTGCTCTCATAGGCCTTAACGCTTACTTTCATTGCCAAAAAATAAATAATCTAGCTTTTAATTGATATTAGTTGGAATAAACCACATTCTTTTAAACATAGTCATGAGCTCCAGTGTCCTCTGTCAGGGATTGGATGGAGGTCTAACACTTTGTTCATTCCTTTTCCCCAGGCCAAAGACGCAGCTTCCCCTCTGCATATTGACGCTTTTTTTGTAGAATATAAGATGTTTTTTTACCTCCATCCTCTGTACTTTAGCAGAGAGTATGACTGGAAACAGCCAGTGTTGTAAAATCATTAGATGCCACTAAGCTCAAACAAAAAGCAGCATAAAAGCAAGGCCTTAACTTTGGATCATCAGTCTTTTTTCAAATGTTTTGCCTTGTCTAAGTATCATGAGGTGTATGTCAAACCCAAACTGTGAACTTTGTACAACATGTCTTAACTGTTAAGTGCTCTATGGCAAATTAACTGATACACCTGTGCCTGTTCCATGGCGGCTAAAAGGGTTTCGATGCTATCGTGCCAACTCTTTCAGTAGTTTCATACAGAGGGGTTGAGAAAACAGAAATCTTTTATAATAATTTTTGCTTTTTTTATAATCATGAATGTACAGTATATTGACAGGATATCTTGAATGCAGTGTCAGAACTGTATATCATTTCAGAGATTAAAAAGAAATATTTCAACACCCATGTTTCGCTTGTTTGGTCCTTTCACAATGGATTGAGGGATGAGAGAGAAGCAGATGGAAAGTAGGGAAGATGTGAATTAAAAACCTGTATTCTACTGGTTTTTTTAAATAAAGTTTAATAAAAATATAATGAATGTTATGTGATTGGGGGGAGAGAACACACTCTGCAGTTGATTCAGTTTCTAAGCCCACGCTATTAGTTACATGAGTTAAGAAACACAGCTCAGCCTTGAGATAACACTTGAATATACATGTAGTGCTTATTTTATATAATAGTTTTCTTTGCCAACATTGATACTGCATTAGGACTAATATAAAAAAACAAAACCCTATGTGTGTCAGCTTGTCTATAGGATTTCAGCTAATCCTTATTTTCATTTTTGATGAATTGCTGATTGTTTTTTATTCAACCAAGTCTATAAAACATCTTAAGACGGAAAAAAGGGCCAAGAGACATCTAATGGCGCGTTTCCACTACAGCGCGGAGCCCCCGTTTAAGAGGGCTGTGACGTCAGCGGCCCGTCTTTGGTTGCGTTTCCACTTGGCCTAGTTCCGGCTAGCGGGTCCTAATTCACAGTTTTTCTGGCCCCATAAAATCGTGGTTCTAGGGCCAGAGACAACCAGGCTGAGTCGGGCTGAGTATGCTAAACTAGAGAGAGAATCGCTGGCAAGGGGGCTACAACTACAACAAGATGGACATATTTGACCGTGATTTAATTGTAATACACGTTTCAAAATGATGCCGAAGTAACAACATACTGATACCGGTTAGTAAAAACCATGAATTAATGCTTTGACAAGTCTGCAGACAGACGGCAGGCGAAAAACCTTTTAAAATGCGTGTTGTCTAAATGGAGATCGGCTAAGCTAACGCAATATATGCTCCGACCGTCCACACTCACAACAACGGCCTATACAGACATAAATAAAGCAGCGACTGTATTCACCATGACACAGGCAGTCTGTGGTTTGTACTTGTTTAACTTTTGTCTAGTTTCTGAACAGATATGAGGAGCTGTGAGCTCTGAGTGCTAACAGCTAACGGCTGTGTTGTTTTTCTGGGGTGCTCATTGAAGATGACGTCACGGCTCCGCCTACACTGCGTTACTATAGATACTACCCCAGTTCCTAAACTGTAATGGAAATGCGCCATAAAGTGAGCCGGGCCTAACGAGGCCTAGCCATACCGAGCGAGGCCGTGTAGTGGAAATGCGCCATAAGATCCTATAATATTTTAACGTACTTGTTTGGCAGATGTGTTTGCCAAAAATAACTAAGGAATATTTTGATAGTGTGTTTGGTGATGTTCATCTAAATGTTTATTTGTTACACACGACAAAGCAGGATATCAGCAGGAACCATTACATGTTTGGGATTTGCTTGAAAAATGACACGAGTATATTATCAAATTATTTTTTTATGAATTGTTTGTGTATTGACTTGGCTCAACTTGTTTCTGTGAAATGGGTGGAAAAAACCAAACTTTTAAAGAAACATTAAACAGGAACTAAACACTTTCACACATCAATGCATGACAGGCTTTTGATCTCTAATCATTTTACTGTAGGTGTTAAAAAGGAAAGATAAATATTGCAAATGTGTTGATATATTTTGTAAAGCTACCTTTTGATAACAAATCCATAATCTTTGCTAGATTGTGAATGTTTGAATCATACATAAGGAAAGGATGAAGTCTCAAAAGACTTGAATCGTTCTGTTTATTACATTGTGTTTCATACATTCATTAAGATTTAACTGCAGTAGTTTCAAAAGTTTAACAATGAGCTCAGGTTTTCAATAACTCAGATAAATGGAGAAAATATGACGTTATATATATATACGTATTTTACAACCATTTTCCTTTTCTGCCTTGCTGTGGATCTTCACACTTACGAAAATACACCCACAGACACTTAAAGTCGTGGAATGGCACACCTTCAGTCCTCTAATGAAACTCAATGTACTCCGTCCCAGGAGAGACTTGAGAGGAGAAGCTGTCCTTCGCAGTGTGAGCGGAACAGAGACACAGCGAGTTGACTGAGACCTATTCCTGTCAGACACACTGACTGTGTGATGGATTATCTGTCAGGCAATCTGAGAGGACGCCCAGACACACAGGGTCCTCCGCCACCTCCATGAAAGACACACACACAAAGCCTTCCTCTTCCTCCTCCTGTATGCACCGGGAGGATTTCTCTGACAGGAGTCTCAAACCGTTTAAACTGTAGTAACTTGTTATTATCTCGAAAGTCAAGAGGACTCCAGGTGCCCTCTGGTAATTGCTGACATCTTTGTTTTCCTTAGTTAGAAAGTGACATGCTGTGTATTAACCGCCAACCTTGACACAAAGTAGAAGGAGATATTAAGTGGAATTGTTGGCTATCTGCTATAATTTATTTGCCATTTATTAATTTTAAGCGTCCCTATCACCCAGAGTCATCTCGAGACACAAATGCAGAGGTCTGTGTCTCCGTGCCGCACGCCGTAGAAATGGACTGAAGGGTTCAATAATTGCCTTATTTCATGCTCTTCCCTCCGTGTGTCAGAAATATCCCTGCTGATGGATTGGACGGAGGAATTTAAGGCTTGTTAAAGCTCTCCACTCGGGGCCCTGATATTGTTTAATTCAGTGTCAAGCTGGAGGTCACAACGAAATGTGCACACTGATTTACTTGGCAAAATTAGTGCCGCTCCTTCATATAAATATAGATGAGGGGGGAAAGAAGCTTTAGAGGTCAGCCTGAAGACTTCCATCATGTAGCCCGCTGCTTTTAACTCGGCTAATACCTCTGGAGGTGAGAGAGGGGGCTGTTGTTTTAAACCACCCTTTGGGCGGGCTGCTCCTTTAATTAAGCTGAATTATTATGCCCGGGGAGTTTTATTGTTCACCCTTGGTGGCTCACTCCATTTGTCTCTGTAATTGTCCATTTTGCCTCCTCAAAATGCGGCCGTTTTTTTTATTTTATGTGGTTCTGTATTGATGTCAAAACGGTAATTGCCACTTTATGGAGCCGCCGTCAGTGTTGAGGCGTGTTGGGAGAGGCGGCGCTTGTGAAAAGCCTTTTTTCAGACAACAGGGTCAAGGCTATCTCTCAGGAAGTATTGGATATTTATTGAGTCATTTGGAAGCAACAACTATGAGCATATTAGTTCATAATAAAGCAATAGCGGGATGAATTGCCTCCGGCTTCATCTTTCAGGGACAAGGGGTTGCTCAATATTTACAATTTTCTGCCTGTGCATCTGGCAACGAGGCGGTGCACAGATAAGGGGCATGCGCCTGTGTGTATGTGTGGTCGATTCTGTCGTGTGTGTGTGTGTGTGTGTGTGTGTGTGTGTGTGTGTGTGTGTGTGTGTGTGTGTGTGTGTGTGTGTGTGTGTGTGTGTGTGTGTGTGTGTGTGTGTGTGTGTGTGTGTGTGTGTGTGTGTGTGTGTGTGTGTGTGTGTGTGTGTGTGTGAGCATATTGATGTTTCCTTCCTTGTGTGCAGTGCGAACACGTGTAAACGCGTACGTTTTTTGAGAGCTTCGTATAAAGCCGGCAAACGCCTTCCTTCCCACGGGACTATCCAAACACGGAAACATCGCTCGTTATTTGTTTTCTTCTTCTTGGTCACAGGCGCCTCATGTCCCAACTGTCGTTATTGTCTTACCACCAGTCTGAAATCATAAAAGATGGCAGGTTTTATGGGTGAAGAGGAAACACAGTGTGGGAGAGAGTAAAAATGTCAAGAGTGAAGGAGGAGTGGAGGCTGACGGCTGCCGTCCAGGTCCTCAGATTTGGCCTTGGCTCGCAGATGAGCAGAAAAATCCATTTCCCTCTCTCCAAATGTTGTCAGTGTGTCTGTAATTGAAGGACTTGGAATCGATTTAAATTACCTTGGCTGTCTGGAGAAATTGAACGATGAGGAGACCGATTTTAAAAGTAGCAATAAGCAACATACCTTCTGAATCTTTTCCTTTTTCCGTGACAATGTCTTGTTTGTGGAACCGTCTCCGAACTTATCTCACAATCGATACCATTTTACAACGAGGGTCTTTTCTGTAGTTTCAAGTGCAAATGTTAAATGCACAAGGTTGGTCTAGAATAACTTTTGGGATGTTTCAAGTTCAGCTTCATTAGCAATCCTTCCCATCACGCTTTGCTTTCCTTCCATCAATCAAACCTTCAAGTTCCCCTCTTTTGCCCTCAATGAAGTGTCTAACATTGCTTTTCTTTCATTCCCAACCTTTTTCCCCATTATTTATTTCCATCCGTCCCCTTATTAAGGTATGCACCAATCCTACTTTTCAGTCCTGATTGCAATTGGGTATGGGCCAATACTGAGTGCCATCTGATACCAGCGTTGATAATAAACTGAACCTCTCATTGTGTGGAATATAAATGCCCTGATTTGTTATTTATTAAAGTAATGGAATCCAATACATTGTCGGCATATTGTCACCAACACCTGAGTCAGGATCAGTGCATCTCTCAAATTCATCTATGTTGTCGTCTTTCTCTTTGATTATCTTTTCCCTAACCTCATCCTATCAATTGATCCCATCTCTACATCAAACTTCCTCTCCACCCTTCCCTTCCTCACCTCTTCCATCCTTTCTTCCACCTCCTTTCCTGTCATTTGTCTGCAAATCGTTCAGACATCCATTACTGTTGTAGTAGCCATGCGGCGGTCGTGGGTGTTCGGATGTTGATGTCAATCTGCCCTTAACTTTGGTCCAGACTAAACAACCTCAACAACTACTGAATTGGTTGCCATAAGGCTGTGTACAGCTGTTCATGGTCCCCAGAGGATGTATCCTAATGACCGCTGAATTCTCCTGGAGCGTCATCCAGAGTTTTTCATTGAAATGTTTTTTATCACTTCCTACCTACTGTCTTTCTAACTGCTTGCATATTCCCTTAGTAACATAAAAACAGACTTCAAATCTGAATACATGTAACATCCCATCCCTTCATCACGTTTCTTTTCCATCAGTCCCTTCCTTCCTGCCATGC